GTAGTAGTCGTAGTAGTAATAGTAGAGCAGTAGCTGTCGCAAGATTAATAGCAGGCAGCAGCAGCACCCTGCAAAAAAGTGCACAAGAAAATTTAGAAGTTTTGCAGAAGTTCTACCATTTGCGGTAGAAATGCGAAAGGCAACGAAAGAGACGGATATACCTCCACGAATAGTACCTAACATCGCCCCCCAAAGTTCATAGAGAGCTGGACACAGTTGGGACTCATGCAGGAAGCAACTGCAAAGAACTGGCTGCGATCGTGGGGTCCCCCTTGCTCCTGCTACCTACCACAACAACGGCCGAACGACACGAAGCTTAAGCACCTCAAGGTGTCAAGGTATAGCACGTGCACGAGCACCGCAGGCATCAACACTCCGCTGTAGCACTAACACCGTGAACATCCCCAGACTGCGTGGCTCTTCAAGTGGGCGCGGAATGACTGGCATCAGTCAAGACACTGCGCGTCCCTCAACTCATCGCCGCGGAGAAGGGCTCTAGCAACAAAGCTTAAGCCAACATGGCATATGTAGCGGGGTTGGCAGCCGAAAACCGTGGCTGCTTTCCAGATTGCAGGGTGTGTTGATACGGATCTGAGACCCTTGCATGTCGACTCTGTTGTCGTAGAGCTGCAGGCCTTATCAAAGATTGGCCCAACACTGCAAGCGAAGCTGATCCCAACACCCACCAAAAATCTGACACTTCGTCATCAAGATGACTAGGGCTTGCTTGGACGTCATACCCCGGCACAGATCAAACAGGTGGAGGCTCCATCGCCACAAGCGCTAGCTGCTGGCCTACCTGTTTTGCACAGCCGCTTGGACGATACAGGTTTGGTCGCAAGCTGGCAGCCAATCAACTGTAGCTGCTAACGAGCTCAGGGAGGTTAAGTTGCGGCCGCAGCTGCGGAAAATTAGCCAGATTTACCCTATGCATCAAGCTGGGTCGCTCAGTGCTTGTTTTACAAGCATGAAGAAGCAATGCGAAAGGAGCCTGTCTCAAAGATTCCAACTAAACAAACCATCCCTTCAATGCCACCATTCTGTTACCGGACAGCTGCTTCTGGTACTTCAGGCACTCTTTCCTGGATACCTCCCAAGACTTTCTCCATCCAGGCATCGACGAAGTACTCGCACAGGTAAGAGCCTCACAAGCAAGAGGAATACAGTGCGAGCTTCGTCCAAAAGAGTGAGAGTGCAGGCAAGGCGCGATTGGTGGGTCGCGTGGTGCCTGCCACATTGATGCTGTGCAGGCAGCCGTCCAATGTCAGCTGCTCTGCCCCCTGCAGGTGTGCCCAGTCCACCGGCACTAGGCCATCGCCGGTGGCATTTCCGACTCCACCCAAAGCCACGTAACTGTTCCAGGCGGTCGACTCTGGAGAGGGTGACCTCACGAAAGGCAGCTGGGAAAGTCTGGGAGGCACTGGGAAGCGTCGCGGGAATGTCGCCGCTCTGCCGTTCGTGGGAGCAGGCAGCAATTGTGCAATGCGCGGTTGTGTCTCTTGCGGCCAGTTTCGGAAGTCAGCTACTTGGACTTAGACGTAGACCTTATTGCATGCACGAGGCTGGATGAGTTCCACGATTGGGATATTGCCCTCCATTTTCTGGCCGGTAACGGCATCCCCTGCCACGGATACCTTTCGCAAACAATGATAGAGACGCTCTGGCGGAGGATATCTCTTACAGCAAGTGTCCAGGCGAGCCGCATAGAAGAGATCATCCGAGTAGTATGCTCCAGGGTGTGCTTTGTTGAGATTGCGCAAGCAGCCAAACCTAAGCCCCGCCGCAGCATGGTCAATCATCGTGTTGGGTCAGGGCAGATGCCGGACAAGCGATGCTGGATGAAACGAACACAGCAACGTGGAAACAAAGGTAACAAATGTTTAGAACCTTGACAAGCCGTAGATGGAACTGAATTACGAACTCCTACTCTGCCCATTAAAGTATTAAAGTGACTTTGCATCGCGCAAATACTTGTCCTGACTCCCGCTGATTGGACTGAGCCGCGTCATGTCCATCTTCCCCTTCGGGGGTGGCCGATGCGGAGTGCCCAGGGACACTAGACCCTGCACATGCTTCAGCGCCCAGTCCTCCGGATTTGGAACTATACACGCAAAGACCTAGCGGTAATCGTAAGGCCAGAATTTATCCAGTCTCCTTGCCCTCTCGGTCAAGCAGAGCCCGTGCCAACCACCCTCCAGCACTGTGGCCGATGAGGATGACGGGTTCACCGCCGGAAAGAACCGTCTCTTCCACTTTCGCCTTGGCCAGGTCCAAATACCAACCATAGGCTGCTCGGGCAGTTCCATTTCCTTTCCAAGGCGAGCATGCGTTACAAGCCAGAACTCTCTAACTCTAAAGCTCGTGGCTGTTGTGTCCCTTGTGTCCTGCGCGGCTGTCAGCATCCAGCAGCAAGCCAGCGAAAACTTTTAGCCAGTCCGACCTCTGGACCGGTACGACTGAAGCCTGGACTCCACGCCGGCTGAGGCACGCCTGGAAACAGGCTGACAATGCTCTGCAAAATTCTGCGCTGCAGGTGTACACATGCAATAGCAGATAAGACAACAGAGAAAGGGCTGCAAAGAAACCGAACGGGGCCTGCAGGCCAACAGACTCATCCTGGCCCAGTGGCTCCTTGTATCCACAAGGGAACCCCAGCAGCATGAGACATAAGTTACAAGTAAGATAATGAGGGCATTGGGGAAACAGCTCATCATCCCAGCGTGAGAGCTTCTTGCAGTTGAAGGCTCAGAATAGTCAATGGCATCATTTCCGAAACCCGGAAACAGGACCGCAGAGACCGACGTTTTTGCCACGTGCTTCGGCTCGGGTGGCGAAGCACCCAACAGCTGGTTTGGCCAGTGCTCCACCTCCTCACTGCTTGTCGGCTTCAGAAGCTGTCCTAGGGCCTCGCCTGCAGGGATGTCCCACTTTTCGAAATAGGACTCTATCCGGCCATCTTCACCTGGTGTGTAGCGAGTTTTGCCTCCGACATTAATGCGCGGGGACCACGGAAGGCTCACCTTCCCAAGCATGGTCCACTTGGCTACGACTTCCCCCGACTCCTCGAGCTGAATATCGCGCAGTATGCACCTGCGCGTCTCTTTCGGAACGAGTGCATCCACAATGGGCTTCAAGTTGCGCATGTTGGATTCGAACTTGGACAAGCCTTGGAACGAAATTGTCGGATCTGTGAAACTGCAGGACTCACCATAAAGCTCTGTGTCAATCTCGCCTGACCAGAGGTATTGCCGTTCTTCGAAATCTGCTCGGATGCCCTCCAGGAGCTGCTCGGGAGAGATCGCATCGAATTCACGGGATCTCTCCCCAGCAACGGCTCCGTTCCCAAAGCTGTGGACAACATCTGTCAGGCCTGCAAAGCTCCACAGTAAGCATCATAAAGGAAAGCTGACGATACCAAGGTTAGCCCGTTAGGTTGCATGTCCCGTGGGCCCGCCTCCTACGATAGACTTGGTCCAGTCAGGCGAAGACTCGTAGGATGACCTCTCCGGTTCAGCGCGTCTGGCACCACCTTCGTCCATAGCACAGGGGCTCGCACATGCACGTTTCACAACCAGCGGCATGCAAGAAGGTAGAAGGACAAACAGCAGGCAATCAGTCGCGCATCAATTTACAGCGACTTTACATTTATGTACTATACTATACTTGCCTCCCTTAGTCTCTCTACCATGCTCAACTTGTTTAGCTTGCTTGGTCCTTCCTGACGTGCTCATCGTGTCTCATGCTACCGGATCGCTGAACTGGCGGGCTCCCTTTACACTAGTCTGCCTGTTCATCACCACGTCAAGATTTTCGACATACATTCTTTCAGACTCAACAATTCAAAATCCGCGCCTCTGACATGCTGCCTTTGCACGCCCAGAGGCTGGCGGATAAAGCAAAGGCTGCAGAACGCTCCGATCGCGACCCAGAGAAAGGCAGAGAAGCACACGGACCGAGATCGCGCCATTATGGCAATGGCTCGACTTTTATCAATGAGTGTAACACATGTAAGAAGCAGTCTTCATGTAGCAACAAGTGCCATGGTTTCAGAAAGAATGTGCAGTTTCAGCTGATGCGGCGCCGTCGACACTGCGATGCCACTCGCAAGCATTGATGTCCATGTGCCGGGTGGATTGCTTCTTCTTCAGAGGCGTTGTCTTGCATAAACCAAGCACCGTCGATGGCCTGCTATTTCTATGCGCTCCCGAGCTGCAAAGCTGATGAGGAGGCGGCAAAGAGCCAGTTCTCAAAGTCATGCAAACAAGTAACGGGTCATCGATCTTCCAATGCTGAGAAGTTGGCCCGATGACAAGACTGACATGCATCGATGCTGAGCTTCCAGCTTGAACCACTGAAAAGGTTGCGACCCCCTCGCACTTCTGGGGCCATATACAGCACCTTAGCGTATGGCTTGGCTTGCAGCCTGCAGCATGTTTGGTAGCGGCTAGCAGCGGTTCATCTAGAGCGGATTCAGGAGTCTCCGAGGCGCACACAGTGCCAACCTTAGCGGAGCCGTTTGCACTCTCTCGGGCTGCATTGCATGTCCTGAGATCCCGGCACCTGTCGACTGTTGCCGAGCTGCGCCTCAATGCAGGCGAGGCAGTGAGGGCAATTGCGATCCACCCCTGACTTCACAACTCATCCCACTTTCCAAAGTGTCTTTCCGACAAGCATATCTGACAAACCTACCTAGTATCTGATACTGAGACTGGGTATCTGATTGACAAGAATGGTTCTGACGCTGCTTTGTCAAGATGGTGATGACGGTGCTGATGATATCTGACACTGATGGTGCCGCTGCTTCGCCGCTTGTGCTGCTGCTGCTGCTCCTGCTCCTGCGCCTGCGCCTCCTGCTGCTGCTGCTGCTGCGCTGCTGCTGCTGGTGCATGCTGGCGAGGTTGTCCTGCCACAGATGCCGGTGGGAAACCGCGCCACCACAGAAATCGCGAGGGAGAGAGAGATGGAGAGGGGGGAGGCAACCTTGGCATGTGCAGACCGCCGACCCCCTTGCGCGACACCCGTGAAGCTGTGTTTGCAACCTTGCTCTGGAAGCAGCGACACCCCAGGATCTAAGAGCATCTCCGCTATGCTCAATCTTGTTGCGCCCTCTTTTTCCCGCCGACCCCTCACCGGCCATCGCTGGCGACTTGTGGATTTTGTTAGGGGTGGAGAGGAATGGAGAGGTGTTTAGTGCGAGCACAGTCAGGCTCCAACTGCCCACCGTGCTATCGCCCACGACTTGTCTGGATTCTGTTACGGGACTTGTGGATTTTGTTCGGGAGAAGTCTTTAATGCGAGCTCAATGAAGCCCCATGCCCCCACTGTCCTCAGGGCCTGCCGGCTTGCCACGGTGATATCGCCCGCGCATGCCCGCGACTTCTGTAGATTCGGCTGCCTCCTCCTCCCCGCCCCCGTGTCCCAAGGGCCCCGCTGATGCTGATGATGCACGTCCCTTTGCGATACCGACACCAAATCCAGAACACGCATAACATCGCCGTGCGCCTTATAGGCCACTGCGGGCGCAAGAGGTGCTCATAATGCTCGCCGGATGGTCGATCACAGGGGTTTCGCCGCACCGTGGGGATGGCCGAAAAAATGCCTGCGCTGCCGCTGAACCTCCAAATGAAGGCCTGATGGAGCGATGAAGCAAGGTCGGCGGGAGGCCGTCCCCCGCTATCGCTGAAGCAAGGCGCTAGGGCACCGAAGGGCAATCGCCCGGAAACCGGGCGCTGCCCGAGTTCTGGGAAAGGTCCCGCACCTGGCGCAGCCCTTAATCGGGCAGCGCAACAAGCCCTTTCTGAGGGTGCGGCCCGGTGCGGCCTTGGGCCGGGAGAGCTCATGATGCTCGCCCCTGCGGTGCCGCGGGCGTCTTTTTGGTGCAGCGGACCCAAGTCCGATGAAGCTGCTTCCGCCCGCGACGGTGCGCTCATGAAGCGGGGCCTCGACCCCTCTGATGCTCATGATGCGGGCCTTTGGGGAGGCATGGGGCATGCATGGGGGGCCTAGATGGCAGCAAACATTTCTGGGAAAAGTCCCGGGTTGGCTGCTTGCGCTGCCCGCACCTGGTGGCGCAGCCCTCAAATGTGCTCTGCAAGCGACAGGGCATGCACTTGTGCACACGCACTGCAAGCACATGCTCGAAACTCGGTTTGGTATTCAGGAATTCCTCCGCGATTCCCACGATGTATGGTTGCTACCCTTGTGAGCTGCATGAGCCTCTTGGTTCTTGATGCGTGCACATCATCCGGTCTCCGAATGTCAACATGTTGCCGGAGAAGAAGTCGTGAAGTTGGGCAGCTGGACCGAAAAATGCATCAACATCTCTACACAAAGCCAAGAGCTTGCCTGAGATTGTGGGATCTTCTCTGGCAGGCTCGAGGCTAGCCTTGGCTGTACTGCTATGCGACAGATGCGTATCGCCAACAAAGTCATGGCGACATCGACAATGACGACAACCAGAATGAACAACAAAATCGACGGAACAGATCACAACAAGAACAAGAACAAGAATAAGAACAACACAACCACTACCAACGACAACAAGGTCGCGCCCCCGTAACGGATTCCACCCTTTTTGGTATTTTCGGGCATCGAAAACACCGTCCCCACGGACAAAAGGGTGGGGAATACGTTCTTTTTTGGAAACGGCAATTTTCGTTTTTGGCTTTTTTGGAAAAACAAGTTTTTTTGCCTGGGTTGTGGACACATTGGCGTGGAAAAGTGGGCTTCGCTGCTTCCCAAAATGCCTTTTATTTTTTTTGCGCGGATCGGTTTGAGCAGTTTCTCGCGGCTCTAGCTTACAGGCAAAATCTGTTTTCGCGTGGGTGTTTTGTGCATGGAGTGATTCAACTTGGTCGTCATCATGGTTGGCTCATTGATGCTCTGCGTTCATGGGTGGAGTCTGAGTGGACGCTATCATGGTGGGCCCATGGATGCTCTGCGTTCATTGTCATGGATGGAGTCTGAGTGCACGTTATCATTGTTGGGCCACGGATGGAGTCTGAGTGGACGTTATCATGGTTGGGCCATGGATGGATGCTCTGCGGTGACGGAAGGGACCCTCCCCCTTCAAGTCCGACTTTGTCGGCAGGGCCGGTGTTTGCAGGCCTGACAGGGCGGAAAGCGTGGGATCCGTTACACAGCCGCTACCAACCACGACAACAACAACAACCACAACAAGCACAACCCGCCACAACCACCATCACCACCACCACCACCACCACCACCACCACCACGACTACTACTACAACGCCTGCTGCTGCTACTACCACTACTACCACTGCTGCTACTACTACTACTACTACAACTACAACTACAACTACAACTACTACTACTACTACCACCACCACGACTACGACTACGACTAGGACTACGACTAGGACTACGACTACAACTGCCGACAACTCGACTACTACTACTACTACTACTACTACTACTACTACTTACTACTACTACCACTACTACTACTACTACTACTACTACTACTACTTCTGCTACTTCTACTACTTCTACTACTTCTACTACTTCTACTGCTTCTACTACTTCTACTACTTCTACTGCTGCTACTACTACTACTACTACTACTACTACTACGACGATGACGACGACGACGACGACAACGACGACGACGACCATTACTACTGCCGCTGCAACAACAACCACAACCTGCTAATGCCGAACACACACGCCGTGCCGCGAAGCGGGTCAAGTGCTTTAAGGGAAAGGTTTCCGTGCAGCACAGGCAATGGCACCAATCTCTCGAACCTGCTCCCTTCGATTCCGGGGAACCTCGCATCTGTGGGCTCGATGAGTATCAGAGAGGGCAACAAGGCTGAACGCGCCATTTTGAGTGTTTGCTGCGTTTCGGTTAGCAGCATTTCGGGGCACCTGGTGTTTGAAGCATTCTAAGATGCATAACGCTGATCGATCTGTGCCTACGGGCCGAGCGCCGAAAATCGACTCACGGATCGAAGGAGCTATTAGTGTCCTCCAGCCCCAACCTTTGCAGCCAGGTGGATATCCCGGAGGCCTGGAGCTGTGTTACCGGTACAGGGGTAGCATCGGGAGTCCACCACCACCACCAGCAGCAGCGGCGGCGGCGGCGGCGGCCGCAGCCGCAAAAACAACAATAGCACCAGTGGCAGCAGCAACGGCGACAACAGCAGAAGCAACAAAAACAGCAACAAGAAGAACACCAATAACACGAACAATAGCAACAGGTAGCACAACAGCTAATGCACCATGCGACAAAAACAGTAGTACGGCCAGCAGCAGCAACAGCAACGACGATGCAACCGGAAAGATTCTAGTGCACAAAGAGCGACGACGGCGACGACATCACCAATGACAACCGCGACAAGCAGGAAGGAAAAAGGGCAACAGATTCCGCAGGAGGCAAAGCCCAGCCACAGCCACGACACCAATAGCAGCTGCAATGCACACCACCACCACCACAATCCACCACCACATCATCACCAACTTGATTTTCTTCATCACCCTCATGATCAACTGCGCTACGTGTATTACTCTCATCGCCGCCACCAGCACTGCACCGTTGTCATCCATGTGGTTATGTTGGCTCCGGTTGCCGCCCAGTTGAGGGATTGGACGTTCCTTGAGGGTGCTTGCCTCCAAGGCGCGGCTGGAGCGCTTGCGACTGCCTCTGCTGTTCCTCGGCAGCTTGGAGATCCACGGGTGTCTGTGACTGAACACACAAGTTTGCAACTTAACGTGTTCCCTTTCCTATGCCTGGACTGCCCGAGTGAGAGTGCCGAGATGCTTCAAGACAGAAATCTTCGGCTGAATCATCCGGCTCTTTGCGCCGCCCCGGACGGTTCAAGTTGCCAAGCCCAGGCTCGATGGGCAGCAGGAAGCCTTGGAGCTGAACCTGACGCTCAAGGCCCTTTGTGTCCTTCTGGGGTTTCCTTGCCGTCCCGCCCAACGCTGCGGAGGTCAAAGCCATCTCGG